AAAATAATAAAGCATAAAATCTAAAACTTAACATGTTTTTTTTATTGTTCTTATCATTATCCATTAGTTTCTACAAATTGTTGCATAATTTAAATCGTGTAGTGTTTTACCAAGATGGAGCCACTGCTCCACCTTGTGGTCATATGATGAATGTGCAGTTGTTAAACTGTAGAAAATCAAATAAACTGAATTCTGAAAATGACTTTTTTGCTTCTTGTAGCAGATTTATATATATTTTTTAATTTAAAAACTATATTTTATTCTCGGGTTTCTTGTAAATACAATGTATTAAACCATCATGGCTTTAAATTTCTTAAGTTTCAATGAGAAGAAGACAGAAGTGGTTTCCTGCACGATCAAGAACCACGGTATCGACCTCTCCTCTCTAGCACCGTTAGAGAAACAAGTTGTCACTAATCTGGGAGTGAAAATGGACCCTTCCATGAAACTAAACAGTCTTGTAAACACGATTCTTAAATCCTGTTTTTGTTTTGTTCAGTTGAGGCAACTGTCTAAGCTGAAGCCCATACTGTCCAAAGATAATCTTGAGAAAGCAATACATGCGTTCATACCATCCAGGCCTGATTACTGTGATGCGATTCTTTTTGGAATCAGTCAGACCTCCATCGCTCGATTACAACGGGTCCAAAATACTGCAGCCCGATTTTTAACTGGTACAGGCAACAGAGAGCACATTACACCAGTTCTGGCCTCCCTTCACTGGCTCCTGGTTCACTTTTGAATCCATTTTAAAATCCTTCTGTAAGTTTTTAAATCTCTGAACAGCTCTGCCCCTTCTTATCTCACTGATCTACTGCAGCCATATGTCCCACAGTGCTCTCTGAGGTCAGCGGACCAGATGCTTTTATTTGTTCCAGGAACTAGTTTTAAGCTCAGAGGTGACTGGGCCTTCTCTGATGCAGGTCCAAAACTGTGGAATGAGTTACCAGTATGTCAGGCAGGCCTCCTCCCTCACTGTTTTTAAGTCTCGCTTAAAAACCCACTTTTATTCCCAGCGTTTGACAGTGTGTGAGTTGGTTTTAACCTGTCTGCATTCTACATTTTTAGCCTTTTAGTTATCTTCTTCCATTTGGATCTATGTTTTTTTATACTGTGAGCTTTGCTTGTTTGTTTCTGCTGTCCAGCACGTTGGTTGGTCTTGTTGCTGTTTTAAGTGCTTTATAAATAAAGTGGTATGGTATCATATCAAGTCCATCACCAAAATATGTTCAGCTCGTCTTCAGGGCAGCATGGTGGCGCTGTTGCCTCTCAGTGAGAAGGTTGCCAGTTAAAATCCTAGCCTGGGACCTTTCTGGGTGGAGTTTGCATGTTCTTTCCATGCACGCAGTGGTTTTCTCCGGGTACTCCGGTTTCCTCCCACAGACCAAAAACATGCATGTTAGACTGATTGGTAACTCTAAATTGTCTTTAGGTGTGAGTGAGAGAGTGAATGGTTGTTTGTATTTTTTGTGTCTGTGTCCCTGTGATGGACTGGAGACCTGTCCAGGGTGTCCCCCACTTATCACACCATGATAGCTGGACATGGGCAGCAGTGACCCCCACGACCCAAAAAGAAAAAAGCGAGTAAATATCATGGATGGATGGATGGACTTGTCTTCACTCTTCACAGCCCAACTGGAGTCAGTCTGTCCCTAACTGGAATCTTTCTGTCCCAGTCACTGGGTTCAGTCACGTCATTTCACACCTTTCTCTGTTCTTTCCTGACCCAGAATCCAAGCTGACCCCATTCTGTGGCGACACATACCGTCCCGCTGACCTTCATCAAAGCTTCACTCATCCCAAACATGAACTGATTGCTCCCTTATTCTCTCTGCCTGCTTGATTTGGTTCCCTTCATTTCTGCCACCATCAATGGGAAGGCAGCTATTAGCAACCTGACCCACTTTGCCAAATGCTAGCACATCTAATTGGGCCCTAATCACGTCGTAATGGCTGCTTTGTTTTGTGCTGCTTCCACTAAATGCTAAATAGAGGGGAGAAAATAGAAGCAGAATTATGAGCGCACATTTTAATCAGGGCATGAAAGGACTTGAAAAATGAATAAAGTGGAAAACCTAATGAGGGGTTGGGGTGCACAACATGGCTGACTGTTTGATTGTCTGATTGATGGACTCCACAGAAATGCCGACTAAGTAAAAGGTGAACATCAACAAAAAAATGTTGTTTGTTGCATAATACCAGTTTATTAAATACGGAGTGATCATTTCTCTGTGGGCTCAGTTTTACTGTTGTTGTTTTCTTAAAATAAAAGTTTAAATTTAATTGTCCTTTTTCTAAAACATTTTTGATATTATTCATATAAAGTTTTTTTTCCCCAAAAAAATAAAACTATTTGAAGATTTAAACAATGAAACACATTGCAGCTTTATAGACCATTTTTGTCCCTCGAAGTGAAGCACAGAGGGGGAACTGGAAATGCGCTCCCATCCCGCCCATCTGTTGGTCTGTCTGTGTTGTGAGCATGAACACATGAATAATAAGTGACGTACTGACTTCCAGTTTGATGTGTGGCTGCATCTAGCTGTAAGAAAAGTCACTATTGAAAATTGGGTAGTCATGTGAAAAACAAAATGGCCATTACCGCACACACATATTCATATATATAAACCCACCACCTCAATCATTTAAGTAAACTATGCTTTCTTACCACTTCCTGCATTACTTAAAAGTATAGTTTCGTCAAATGACTGGGGTGGCTTATAGATGATCTATTTTGGCCATGGCCACCACTGGCCACCCCCTGGCTCCACCATTGCACCTGGTGGTGGACAAAATTCAATTCAGTTTATTTATATAGTGCCAAGTCACAACAGAAGTTACTGCATAAAAATCCGTTTAGTAACATTATTTATCTAAGGTAGCCAGCAGATTGTGCTGAGTCTTCATTTCATCGCAGTCGGCCATCCTGAGCAAGCTCAAATGTAACAGTGGAAAGGAAAAACTCCCTTTTAACAGGAAGAAACCTCCAGCAGAACCACTCAGAACAAGCAGCCATCTGCTTCAACTGGACTGATTCATCCCGCCTGAAACTGTCCCTCTGCACCGCTTCGGACAAGCAACAAAATGATCATGATTAAAAAAATCCTACCTGTCCTTCTCCACAGAGTAACTTCTACCCACTTGATTATTTTGCACCAAAACCATCAAGGTTTACTTGCAGTCCCTGTTCAGTTCCAGTAAAGAAAAACACTTCTTGAAAACTACCATATTTTTCGGCCTATAAGTCACAGTTTTTTACATAATTTGCATGCCCTATGACTTCTAGGTTGAAGCGACATATTTACATGCATGTTTTTTTCCCCATATTTATAAACCGATTTTTAGCTGAGATCTGACCGTTTCCATTCATTCTGACTGAAAATATTGAACACTACCATTTTAAGCTGCTAGATGGCACTCGAGTAGTATAGCATGATGTTGTGCCACGTAATAGGTAAAAGTGGCTATTAATGACACAATGGGCTTGCCATAAACTCCCACCTTCATCCAGATCGCCTGGAGCAACCATCAAATCAGCTTCATTTTGCTGCACTGCCCTGGAGAAATGCAGCTGATTTGACCATTAAAATGCATTTATTAAGTAAAAGTTCAACTGAGACACACCTTTACTATAATGTAGAGCAAACTTGTTTTAGGTGCTGTTTATCTTGTTAAATTCTTGTTAAAAGTCCTCCCGCAGCCACCGTTTGGCAGCCAGTCCATTTTTGGCACAACACGACCCACATTTCCAGGTTGTCAGCGATGACCCACAATAGATGCGATGTACGGTGAAGCGACATATTTATGGATTCTTCCATTTTATTAGACATATTTGGACTGATGCGACTTATTGGGCGATGTGATGTGTACGGCGAAAAATACGGTACAAACATTCACTATTCAAATCCCTCATTGACGGGGGATATTGGTACCCTGTTTGTTATGAAACTGTTTCCTCTTCGGACAAAGATATCTGGTTTCTAACTTCAAAACAATAAAAACCTAAACAAAGAAACAATACAAATGTACTTTGTAAAATAAAAATACAAAACGTCACTAAGCAGGGTTTAGAATAATAACATTTGGCTATGTGGGTGTGCTCATGTCAAACACGTGGGGATGCGTTGCTGCTGAAGTGTGATGGTATCCTCAGAGGTCCTGCCTTTCTGGCAGTTGGTGTTTGAATATTCAAATGTGTCTGGTCTGAGCGTTGTCTTACTGGGAGCACTGATCTCCATGCAGACTGACAATCTCAACAGCCAGCTCAGAATCCTGTTTTCAGAAGGGCTGTGACTTCAAGCAGGAAGTTTAGTTTTGCTCCTTCAGTTTTTGGTAAGTGTTCTTCTTGTCGCCTCACATTGTGTTCGTTTACATGGACCATTTCTAAATGGGAGGTGGATTTTAGTGCATATTTTGTTGCAAGCTTTTTGTTCTTGTAGTTTCAATGCTTTAATCCTATTATTGAATGTTGTTTGTGCAGGAACTGTTTATGTACCCAGACAGTTTCTTTGCAGAGCTGAGGGACCCTGACCAAAAGGAGCCCATATAAGTCCAAGCCTTATAAGAGCAGCGGCACTGCTTCTTGACTCAACTTCCCTGGCGAGACCTAACAGCACTTGAGCTTGCTCCTTATTGTTTTTTTTATAAACAGTTTGGGATGACTTCTCCTTTTGTTAGTGCTGAGGGTTTTTTAACACTTTGGTGTCTAGCCTGAAGCAAAGTAATGTCATGTTTGGCTGTATGAACACATCTTGGTACAGGCCCCCAGGTCCTTATAAGGTCACTTTGTGTAGGGTCCTAAAATAGTTATTCTAAACATCTGGTGTGTCTTTTCTCTCCTAGTTACTCCTCTTCCCTGAACC